AACATAGTCTTATAGACATAGTACTACCAAAACACGATAAAATTGTAAATTTTTCTAAAACTATTGTATCACACAGTAAATAGCGAGATATGCCTTACTATCTATTCTGTGCTAGTGTAAACACTCAAAGTATTGTTTGAATCAATTTTAATGTATCATAAAGATCAACTTTTTAAAAGTGTGGGGCTGGATAAAATTTTGTTAAACTAACTTTTAAGATATCAGGATTTCTAACCATCTACATAATCACTTGATCAATGGCGAGGGAAAAAACGAAACCCGTTAGAACTTATCCACTAATACATCGGGTCCGTCCTCTGATTGCTTAAGGATTTAATTTAAGATGTTTAAAAAGGGTGTCTAAAATTTGGTGGTTTTATCCTAGGTTTCCTACAAAATGACTTTTTTATTTTCAATTCTTATCATTTCATCATCAGTTATATGAACCGTATTGGAAATACCAGAATGAACAAGTTCTAAGCTAAACAAGTTTTTTGTGCCACAGTCTAAAATCTATATTACAACGCTACATGGGACTTTGTGAACAATAAGGCTTTTTTGTTTTAATATTTAACCCCACATATTATATACCAAATTGTTCTGCTAGTTGTGTAGATGTGTAAACTGACCTTACATTTTTGAAATAAATAAGTCCCTTGGGCTCTGCCCTAGTGGCTTTAAAAGCTACCATGTTATCCATATGAAGAAAATATTTATTTACATTATGATCAGTTAGACAATTTAGTTGTTGTTAATATTTTAGCTGCAATTTAAGAAAACGCGTGCTACACCATTTACTGACTTGGTTGAAATGAAATAATTACTATTTGAATTTCGTTTGTAAATATTACAATAGAAAAAAAAGCTAGAAAGCCTGGAGATTTGATATACTAAAAATAAAATTGATTTAACACTGTGCTGCATTTCTTGATCAATCGTTGAAAGAGAAATTTGCAAACTAAGGAAAAATAGGAAAGTCATAATAATATTTTTTATTTGATTTTATTATGGACAGCCAACTTGCTACTAAGTAACCTTTAAAAGGTAAAATAGAGTGTTGCATCATTCGTTATGCTTTGGAGACAAGTTTTAAGCCCCATTAAAATGCCCAATTTGCTCACGGATCCTATGAATAGAATACATAAACTAATTCAAAAAACATGAAATTTAAAATACATAATACGCCTTAATTAATTTCAATAATGCATATAGAATTGGTTCTGTTACAAGGAGAATAATGGAATAGTTCCTTATTTCGTCGCTAGAATGCGTAAACTGTCGAGCTGACAATGTCGGTAAAGTAGATTAATTCAACTTATATTGTACAGTATAACCAATGTTTATTGGTTATAGGAGGGGACCCTTGCGCAAATTGGGCAATGTAATAGGGTTTAAAATTCGTCTTCAAGACATATCGAATGTCTACTTTTACCACAGACAATAGAATAACTCAATAGAGGTATCATATTGTATGCAGTCATGCCTTTAAAAGATTATTTAATAGCTGAAAAAATAACACTTGTAATTTTCAACAATTAAACAACGTCTATTGTAAGTATATAACTAAAAAAAATATATTATTTACGATCTCAATCATGTTTTAATTACCAAAAAAGCATAACGTTCATTTTCATAAACTGGCATGTCCCCTGTTTGCAATAGGGCTATTGTAAATATCATTTGTGAAACTACAAGTAATTTACATTAAACATGTTTATAAAGAAAGTTAATCAGCAATCCTGGTCCTTTTAAGGACGACAGTTTTTTAAAGTAGCCATTTCAGTTCAGTTCTTAGAATTGAGAAGTTTCACTTAACAGCTGTTTACTTTCATAACAGCATAGTTTCATTTCATATCGGCATAGTTTTTCTCATATCAACACAGGTAACGGACCAATGAGGTTCAAGCATTGAGAGAAAAGAAGTAACATTGTAATGCTTCGAACGTCAACTAATCAGCTGATCAGCTGATCAGTTGACAATTTAATTGTTGATCTGACTTGTTCCTGTTGATACTCGAGTATTCTTAACCTAAGTTGGTGGATTTTAAAGGAAGTTAGATTAAACTGACTTAAAAATGTCAGTTAGTGAAAGTGAAGTTGACGAGATGGAAATGAGAGCACAAACTGTTTATAGTGTTCTATAATATTCGCTGTTGAGATATAACTGTAAATTAACTGTTTCACTATAAGCATTCAGTTGTAAAAAAAATTCAATTTTTCCCTAATTGTACCTGATACAGTATTTATGGTAAGAACGCTGCTAGCAGAACCTATTTCCTGAAAAAAGGTATCGTATTATTTAAGGAAGTTTTATAAACACGTAATTACATGAAATCAGCTGATTATACAATAAATCGTTGCATCACTTTCAGTGGCACTGACAATAAACGAAAACATAACCCCTCTAAGAAGTTATGAGTAGTGATTGTTAGTAATTAAAAACCAGATTGTTAGAAATAAAAAAAACTGTCGTAGGTAAAGTAGTGTACGCAACTCGCGTTAATAGTCTTTAAGGCTCATGCCTTAAAAACTTCTACGAGTGTCGTAAAGACTAACTTAACGCAATCGTTGCGTAAACTGTTTTGATACTGTGTTGTAGGCCTACTATATATAGATCTGTGGAAATCTAGGTGTGTAAGACAATGTTTAATACTGCCCAACAACTGTTGGGTATGGCGGTCCTTGACCCTCTTGGCTGAATATTTCACAACTACCGATCACTTAAACCTTTATAAAAAAAATAATGTCTTCCATTTCATTCTTACGGCTTTTTGGTGTTTTAATAAGACAGTAACAGAGGTAACTTACACCAGCTTATATTTTTGTTGAAATTTCATATATCCCATTACACCTTAATAACTCGTTGGAGTTATAAAATGCATCCGTATTCGTATTGTGGTCTTGGCTAAAAATAGTAGAAAATTAATAAGACATTTCATATTTATTGAAGGTCAAACGGAGTCCTACAAATTTAAAATCGCCAGGGAAGATGTATTGGAAAATACGGATTACCCACTAAAGGAAATATTAACAAAAGCGTCCTTTCCAAACAAGGGAACTCTATTAACAATATCTCTGAAACCAGATTGTATGTCGCAGTGGAGGAGAGGGGGGGGGGGAGGTGAAAAGTGGGAAGGTTAAATGAGGTTATAATGGACAATAACTAATTAATTTCCGGCTTTAACAGATTACTGCACCATTCGGACGCTTTACATTTGAAATATGTGTAGATCCTTTGATTATTGATAGAACAGGAGAAATTACTATTCATATTTTAACTTTGAAACCAATTTAGAAATTTCCAATTTTTTTAGTACTTAAAAACAGTTCAATCAAGCATCCGAATGAGTTTTCTGCTATCGATTATTAATTGTTTGCACTGACTGTTACGCCACGACAAACTAAAATATACACTTTTTGTCAACTATAGCATCTACCATATCACAAGCTATCCATTGTATCATAAACTACGAGACTTAATGGAATGTTAAAAGAGGCTCGTTTTGTGAAGTGTGAATCATTTAACTATGGTTATTTAAACAACAAATTGGCTACTTGTGCTCCATCCAGATAAAATATATTACAATTTACTCTATCTGCTCAAAATGGGGTGTGTATCTAAATACATTACTATATTCAATAACAATTGATGTTTTAACATCAATGAATAAGAATAGGTTTACAAGAACGTGACTGGAAATTATTAGGTGACAAGTTTGGTTTGCCGGTAGACTTTGCGCAAGGTCAGGTCGAGGTCCAGCTGATGAGCGTTGTGAGTGCGTTGAGAGATAACTGGAGGGCGGAATGTATTGGCAGAGCGCGTACATCGGCATTTCACTCTCAATTTATAGATTTGGACTTCAATCTTGGCGATAGAACTTTTCTCTCCGATAATAGGGATATCGTCACAATTTCATGGATTATGAAATGTAGAGGGGAGATGTTAGATTTAAATTATAAACCCTGGGTAGTTGATAAAAATTATTTTTGTTCCTTGTGTAACCTGCATGAAAATGAAACTGTTTTTCACTTTGTGGCAAGGTGTCCCGTGTTTAAAGACCTTAGAAAATGTTATTTACAAAAATTAACTATTGATTATCATGAGTTTTTATCTTATCTAAATGGGAGGGATTGGCGAGGTTTGGGTAACTTTATTAAAATAGCCTGGGTCCGTAGGAGGGAGCTAATAAATGAATTTAATTTTTAAAAATCCTAACTTGATGGGAATATTCTGTTCTAAAGGTATTCGAGTCGAGGGTAATCTTTTGAACGACAGGTGACAATAAGCATACATGAATTAAGCAGTTTAAAACATTATATACTAGGCTATTTGATGATGAATCTCAACAATCATATACTCTGTTTTTTTCCTTTCATTTTATTAGAGCAGTATTTTATGTTTCAGCATTCATGATACTTTTTATCTCAAAGATTTATTATTTAACTGTTTACTGTAAAAGGAAATTCTTGGTTTAACTCTAAAAACTGTATGTTAGAATATATCTGTATGTTTGTATGTGTGTATGTATGTATTTACAGTATAGCCTAGTATGATGTGTAGGTATGTGTATTAGTATGTGTAGGCAATAGATTAGAATCCTTGGTGCAGTTCAAAAAATTGGAATGAATGTAAATTAGTTTAAATTTTATTTTAGCTTTTAAGTGAGTGCTTTTATGTTTATTATTTTTTATATTAGTGCAGTGTTGATTTTATTTAGATAGTGGAAGTGGACTTTGCCAACCAGACAGACGGTCAAATGACTATTGTCTTTTGTGCATAAAAATAATACAATCTGTAAATTTGTAAACGATTCAGAAAAATAAAGCACTTATCTATCTAAATACATTACTATATTCAATAACAATTGATGTTTTAACATCAATGAATAAGAATAGGTTTACAAGAACGTGTGTTTGTTAATTATTTTTTTTTAACACACGTTCTAATTCGTGAAACAAATTGTATTACATAGAACTGCAACATAAATACTTCCACACTATTAGTGATAGACCGAAATAGCCATGGTAAGGTCGCTGGTTCTAGATGGTACACAGGATACGGAGGTTCTCGTGCAGGACCTGGAAGAGGGATCGAACCTTTGGCCCTCAGGACAGTAGTGGATGACAAACGTGGAAGGACGAGAGCAGGAGTAATACTTTGTGCTGTCCGAATGGTAAGGTATCTTCTCACCAGTGTAGCTGCAGACAGGCAAACACTGAAACATCAAGCACGTAAATGTGGTTGGTCAGTATTAAAATTAGAGCTTGTAAAAATGTTGCACTAGCAGCTTTTTGATGAGTTACATGAGAAAATCAAGTTTGAACCTCTTACGGAAGGATACGGTTCAAGAACCTTAATCCTGTTATATTTCAGACCCCTAATAAGGTTATATATTCAATGCTATAAGTGAGTCGGCTACGCATCCTCTCACATCAAATTAATTCTATATAGTTAATTTTAGGCCTATTACTATTCTAAACAGTTATTTTGTGTTGGGGATCTCAGGCTGGACGTAGAGAGAAGGACGATGATTAAGTCTAGACAATCAAAATTATAATATAAACTAGCTGACCCGGCGAACTTCGTATCGCCTAAGTTATAGGTTTCCCCTAAGACAGACCGATGGAAAACCCGGCAGACGTTGTCTGTAGTCTTGCCTTTGACTATTTTTAATTTAAGTACCGTTACGTTTAATTTTCAAGATGATCTCGTTCGCATCGCTCAACCACGTCCTGGTTGAAGTTCGTTCGCTACGCTCACTCACCTTTGGGTTGGAGCTCGTTCGCTACGCTCACTCACCTTTAGGTTGGAGCTCGTTCGCTGCGCTCACTTGCCTTCAGGTTAGATGTTCGCATCGCTCAATCACGTCCTGGTTGAAGTTCGTTCGCTACGCTCACTCACCTTTGGGTTGGAGCTCGTTCGCTACGCTCACTCACCTTTAGGTTGGAGCTCGTTCGCTGCGCTCACTTGCCTTCAGGTTAGCTCGTTCGCTACGCTAACTCGCTTCCAGGTTGAAGTTCGTTCGCTACGCTCACTCACCTTTTGGTTGCAAATTAGCTGTTGTCATAAATGTAAAAGAAATAATAGTGCTGCACCCTGTTGGTAATCCTTGTAACTTTAATGCTATTGAACATCATAGAACAGAACCAACTTGTTTAATTGAAACAGCTGTTAAGATTCATTAATTCCATTTCTCATAAGGTTAACATGGGAAACTCCAGAGCCACTGGGGCGGAGCCCTTTTAAGAATTTCGAAACGGGAAATAGTTTACTTCCTATTCGCATACCTACAGAATTTACACACCAAATTTCATAACGATCGGTGAAGTCGTTCCGGAGGAGTTTGCAGACAAACACTGTGACACGAGAATTTTATATATTAGATTAGTAAAATGACAAAAAAGCTAACTACTATACAAACATCATCACCAAAAATCCAATTGTAAACCAAAATCTTACACAATGTTTCCCTAATAATAACTCACTTCTCTACTTTAAGTTTATTTTTAACGATTATCAGATTACATTATCTAATGGATTATTAGAAGAGCGCGGGGATCCGGTTCTTGAGGCCACGGGTTCAAATCCCACAAATAACTAATAAATTTAGCTAAGTGATAATGTCTGGACGCTGTATGTCTAGCCTGAAGTAAACGGTAAAACGAAAGGAGAACGTACAACATTTCTGTTATTAAAAGCATTCTCGTATTAAGTTCCACTTTAGGCAATTGGGACAAAATGTGTTACTAAAATAAAATTTTAAACAACTTAGTTTTTTAAATAAAGCCCAAGCAAACACGAGAATCAACGTGCATTTCGAGGTATATTTTCCCGTGTTATGAATTATATGCTTGGAGAAAGTATATAAAATTAAAAGTAATAGTTACCTGTTGTAGTTCCTCGTGCATTTTATTGTCTGGAGGACAAATATCCATGAACAATGGCTTGTCGTTGAGACAAAACGCATAAGTGGACGCATTGAGGGGGTAAGGCACCTGTGTAGAGGAATTGTATTAATACATTTACTACTTTGAATAAAAAGAAAATCGTGACGTATAATAGAAAAGTATGATGATGTGACTAAGCTAGGTATGTACAATGATAGTGTATGATTTTCATCGGTAAGGAGTGGGTTGTACAATTTTTTACGTTATTTAACGTCTAGAATGCCAAAATAGGGTGAAATTTATCTATGGCTTGGTGCGGGACTACTACCCATAAAGCCTTAGTTCACATCCTTTCGTTTAAGGTTTACTAGGGAAAGAGTTCTCTGACAAGCTTTATTTGCATCATTTAAAACATATTAAACTCACACAGTACGATGATTAATTAATTTATCAATGCTTTGATGTCAACATTATTTAAGCCGAAGAAGGATTAAGCTCTATAATAGGCTCTAAACCCACTAACATGTCACGATTATGCCATGTTCGATTTGTATAAACCTAACATTTAAACTAGATGAAAAAAAATAAAAAAATAAGTAATTTAATGTACAGAACCATCAAACAAAATACCCTCCTGGTCCTGCCAGCACTCTGATTGAGTACTATACTTACACAGCTATAAATAAAATCCCAATTATAAAAGTGCCTTTTAAAAATGAGGCATCTTCACTTACAATGAATTGGCGTGATTATGAATTAAAACTAATTAGTCCCACCTTTATTCCAGATTTTCCTTTGCAGTTGATGGTATTGCAGGAAGTAGACCCGCAATGAGTCCCATTAAAATACGTCCCACTGGGACACTGGAAGCTATGGGACGTCCCATTGTAGCATACGTGGTAGGCCTTACAGTCTAGGGGGTCGGGAAACACTCCGTCCTAATGGAAATATAGAAACATACATTATAAGATACCTATTAGATTTCCATAAGGTTCATACATCAAAATGCGTATTGTAAAGCGAAGATGATTGGAGAATTATGAGATGACATCTATGTAATATGTGTACTATCTATGATCAGCCAGTTATTTATAAAGGGACACAACAGTAACATAGGCCTAATTTTGAGAGATTGTCACGATTAGTAAAATTACTGTTGATGAATTTCTGGGATCTGTAATTTAATCCTGTTATCAGATTAGGAAGTGACTAAAACGTTACAAGACTTCAGTAAAACACACAGCATATTGGAATCGATTTTGAATAGGTATACAGAATAAAAGAAAAAAACAGTTTTCAAAAACAACGTAGTGGACATTTGTTTTTTATCAACCGTGATTAAACATGACCACAATAATCCGTAAACCTACATAAACTTACTGTCACAAAAAATTTAAGTCAGAAAAAGAATAACAGAATTAATAAAACTCAACATTAAACAAACTATTTAGACCTAAAGTTTGGCAAAGTATAATAAATTTAAAATAAACACTTGTCTTCTTTTGAAAAACTTCACCTCCAACCGTGATACAATGTGAGATTTTCAAAATAAAAACGAAACAGCCAGGTGAGGTTTAAACTAGCAACACTGGCTGTTTGGTGCTCGCTGGTTTGTATACGCATAGACCAGCTGTTGCACTGTTATTGTTTTGGTAGAACGCTTTGACGTCGGAAATGTGTTACATTGTCGTCTGTCATTGTAGGCCTAATACCTTACACAAAAAGAATTTAATTCTTTTTGTCTATGCTTATACTCGCCTGGATGCTCAAAAGTCATTATAGATGTCTAACCCACATTCTTAAATATACAAAAAATCCTTTCCTTTGAAGAATAACAGTTCTAATAACACTGTGATTGATATCTAAAAAGTTGGTCTCCAGCATAAGGTGAATTCCGAACCAACTGTTTAAGGCACGGTTTACGGATTGGAGCCATCAGTGATTTGAATTATATATAACCACTTCATTCTGGTCTTACGGGTCATTCTAGATCCACACCAAACACTCCATGTTCTACAGTATACTCTACTGTACTATAAGTTTTAAGGACTCACCTGCATACAGGGGAAGATTCCAACATTGGCACACTCGTGAGTAAAGTTAGCACTGCAGAACCCTCTAGGATCACAGAAAGGGGTGGAACCACCGCAATTGAGTCTAAACACCTCCTGGTACCTCCCTTGACTTCGGCGGCAGATCCTCACTTGGGAGCAGCTCGCACAGGAGTACTCCGAGGCACAGAGGTCTTCTGAGAGAACTGAGTCAGGTTGGGTCTTTAACACAACGTTGTAGATAAGAGGACTGGCCATTGAAGAAAAAGTGGTTAGAAAAGTAATTTGTCTAAGGAAAAAGTGAAAGACTACTTGAAACATTCATCGTGTAAGTAGATGAGGGCATATAACGGCATATAACATTGTCAGGGCTACGCCACGAAGGTCTAAAAACCAATGAAGACTAAACGAAAGGGTTTACCAAAGAGTTCAAAGAGAGGGGTGGATTTGAAATACATCACTGAAGGCCAAGAGGTTACAGCATTAGCTTCCAGAGAGTGAGCAAATAAACCGCTCTTTTAGATTATGAAGGGATTCCCATTGAAAAGACTTGAGAGTGGTTAAAAACTTACACTAAGAAGATGTAGAAAAGTCTAAAATGACGTTGTATTGTAAAGGGGAGAGTTTGTTAGCTAGACAAAGAGACGGTGGGCAATGTCATAGTTAGTGCCTAGAGTGGTTAGGGTTAAAAAAAAAACATTGGAGGCTAAAAAAGAAGAGTTATAGCTAAGAGTAGTTAAATAGCTGAGTAGAGTGGGTATAAAATACTACAAAGACTAAAAGAGGAAGTTTCCTAGCAAGGACATAAGAAAATAAACGATGACTTACGTCAGATATTGTGTTGTGAGAGGATTTAGTTTTTTCATAGTATGATTAATTGTTGTTTTAGGGAATTTAATAATTAAAATATTGTTATGTTATTTAGTAAAATGAAAAGAAGAAAATGACTTACGTTAGATTTTGTGTTTTCATTGTAACATACATTAGTATTTGTAATTGTTCGAAGATGCCTCGAAGAGATCACGCAACCAATGAAAATAATAGGGATATGATGAGACATATTAATTTTCACTCTTATCAACTATATATATAAAATATATCACGGATTTTGAAGTCACGAAATGACGCAGGTTGCTAGTAGACAAAGAAAATAATTTTCTAGCTGGACAAATATAAAGTGGGTATGAAAATCATTATAAAGTAAAGGCCAGAGTTTCCTAGATAGGACGTAGTGAGCGTGGGCTTAAAATAATCTTTATAGGCCTAGAAGGGAGTTTCCTAACAAGGAAAAATATAAGAAGGTTTTAAATATTTATAAGCTGATGAGAATACAAAGTTGTTGCATGTTTGAGTTCTTGGCGGGCACGGATTGAAATGGTGACTACAATTACAGATAAAATATGTACAAAATATCAATCATGTGGTATAATTTCAAGACTCCAATAGTAGATTGGTGTGACCCTTTCTAGCAGATTAGAATGAACTTTAATACTATACGTAATCTTTTAGCTGTATTAGCCGTCGATAATATGTTATTATTCATATAATTATAAGGAACGAGCTGTTGACTTGTCCTACGTACGGGAGTTATGTCAATATTTCTAATTCTAATCCAAGTGAAGTTTAAGCGATTAAACATTTATTGTAAAAAAAGCTGCCAAGATGAATTAAAACATGTAAACATTGTTATTTTCCTATTATTTCCTCAAAAAGTCGAACAAAAAATAATTACAACCTTTCCTTTGAAGACTCGGGACAGAGCCTCAATTTGTATACATCAGTGGTTATAGAATCTTACTTATTTCCTATAATCAATGGCAACATCACAGGATAATAAACTAACCTGATAGTTCTTTAGAATATTTTTATATTCAACCAGCTGTTAGTAAAAACAAATTATATTGCACTAAAACGAACTTAAAATTTTAAAGACTGCTCTAAAATATAAATTAGAACATCTAGCATTTTACCATGTATATTTAAATAGTCTGTCATCCTCTTACGAAATAAATGAACGTATCAATGAGTATAGCATTACACATAGTATAAATAAGTCAACCCTATGCATGCCGTTATTATCGAAATGCTGAATTTGTGTCACACACGCTTAATGTTTACAGCTGTTACGTTAAGAAAATGGTACAGTAGGCCTATTATAAAATAGCTAGTGTAGAATGTTAACGTCGGCTGCTAGACTTTAACAAAATTTAAACTTGTTTTCTAAAAAACTGAAACAGTAAACTAAAATTATGGCTTCGCCATTCCCTAGTTCTCAAAATTATCTTTCTTTCAACACAGAAATCATGAAAATCCGTCAAGTGGTTGATTCAGAATCGTGAAATAAAAAACCCTGTCACGTTTTAATATACAGGGTGAGTTTTAAATGAGTTCCCCCCCTACTTTTTTCTACATTTCTTAAGATATCAACTCCGTACCACGTCAGATCATTGTAGAGTAGTAAGTACTTCATTTTGACTGGGTATAAATTTTTGGCCGCCATCTTGAATCCACCATATTGGATACAAAGTTTTTTTTTTTCAAATGTAAAGGTAGGGTTGTGACCCATCGTTTTAAACTACTTTTTTATGATGAATACGATGCTGCAATTCGTTTTTAAAAATCTTGATCCATTCTAAAGTTATGAGAACTTTTTATAACATTATTTTTAGCCATTTTAACATTGTACATTTAGAAACTAAGAATATAATTGCAAAATAGTGCTAGATAAAGATAAGTATACACCACATAATATACATAAATCTTTATCTAGCACTATTTTGTGATTATGTTCTTAGTTTCTAAATGCACAATGTTAAAATGGGCTAAAAATAATGTTATACAAAGTTCGCATAACTTTAGAATGGGTCAAGATTTTTTTTTAAACGGATTGCAGCATCGTATTCAGCATAAAAAAGTAATTTAAAACGATGGGTCACAACCCTACCTTTACATTTGAAAAAAAAACTTTGTATCCAATATGGCGGATCCAAGATGGCGGAAAAAAATTATACCCTGTCAAAATGAAGTACTTACTACTCTACAATGATCTGACGTGGTCCGGAGTTGATATCTTAAGAAATGTAGAAAAAAGTAGGGGGGGGGAACTCATTTAAAACTCACCCTGTATATGATGATTATAACTGAGTCTTTTTTCAAGTATTTAAGCTCAATGATCAGAAACAACTGCTAGGCCTATAATCGAGCTACATAAACTGATATTTATCAAGATTAAATGTTGGTAGTAGTTGAATTTAATTTTTTAATATACTCACTCTGGATGGAAAAACAACTGGAACATCTTTTAATATGAACACGAAAACCTGGAAAGAATATCTATTTGGTGAGAGAAGAATAAAAACATTCTAAAGTGTTTTTGACATATTTCGAAACACATTAACACATGTTGCAGGATTTGTACAGGGTGGGGCAATGAAAGCGCCCCAATTTATAAGCAGTACAAACTCAATAATATTCACCCTTTGGATATAAATAGCACATCAAAACACAGCTTATCTTTTGTCATTTTAACTTAACAAAGTCATTTTCCATTTCTTGAGAGCGAAATCCTGCAAGTGACGTCCTTGTCCTACTTGACATTAGGCACTTGAAAACTCCATCAAATCCTCCTCCAGCATTTCTTCAGGAATCACTTTAGTTTTTGGACAATTCTTAGCTTCGGTTCAAGCAAATCTGTGGGGTGACTTTGAAAAACTTCGAACTTCAAGTAGCTTATTAGAAACCCCCCCCCCCTTCCAAAAAAAGGAGCCAACGTAAAGCTTTCAACAACAACAGCTTCCTGGCAAATCTCTTTGGACTTTGAGTTACTGCTACTCGCACTCTTTCAACATTTGCTGGTGTGCAAAGAGTTTTGCGGCACCCACCATTTCCATTTCCATTTCGTTTTGTCATGAGAGCCGAAGCCCCCTGACTGCATACCCGGTACCTATCCTTTAGGACATACCCGGGCCCCATGATGTAGGCCGAAGCTTACGCATCAACCTTTAGCACATCATGGGCGGATGACTTAAGGTCATCAGGCTCGCCGGCTGCCGAAGCAGACCCTTCGGAAGGAGGGTTGCCCCTCAATCCTAACCAGGGATTCCGGCTGCTTGTTTAAGCGTCACTCCACCTGGGTTCCACTAGGTCGAGACCTAAAGGTCCATGGTAGAGCGCCCCGACGCATTTAGTGCAAGCAACACTCGGGACCTATCTAATCCCTGACAGGCAGAACCCGCCATCAATAGCCAGGAGGAAGGGGACCGTCAGCACGCTGACGGGGGGAACCCCAACCTCCCATTTACACCGCTGCCCGATCGAGGCCTTACCCATTGCTGGGAAACCAGAGATAACCAGAGCGATAGATCCCCAGATACCCCTGGCGGGCTCGGACCCAGCACCCGATCTACTTCGTTTGCCCGTCAGACCCAACATCACTGCCAGGCCATCAGGGTTTCCCAAAAGGAGGCAGGTATAGAAGTGGGACCCACCCGGATGAACCTATCCACCAGAGGTGGCGACACCCTTGACTCAATTGAGGTTCCGGGAAGAACCCCCACCGATTATTTTTAAGGTTTAAGCGTTTATCCTAAATAATTTTACCCAGTTCACCATTGTTTTCCAATCTGGAACAGTGCCATGTTGACCAAGGATGGAATGTGGCCCAAACAATCTCTGGGTTTTTGCACAAGAACCACTATTTTAAAAATAGGTTTGCACATAAAAATCTCAGTGTTAATAGCCTCGGGCATAATATTTACTAAAATGGCATAGTTTAATTGTTTGTTTGTTTGTTAGTTTGTTGTTGTGTTTAATTGTAGTTTAATTGGCACAGCTGATCAGTCGTTGTTGCAACAATTAACATGTGACAGCTAAAACAAATTGTGGCGTTCTCATTGCCCCACCCTGTACAATAGGTATATATAACAAAAAAGTTATTCGTAGTTAGTTATAGTGACTTTCATGGTGATTCTGGCAAAAAGAAAAATAATATAACTACATTCTGGCTTCAGTTTTACGTATATTATCATTCGGATGGCTTTAAAGTGGTATGACTAGATAAACTAACATTGTAATGAATAAAAATGCAAATGATAATAATCATTCATTATTGGTTTTTCATCATCATTAGAAATTGGTATCCGTGTGTAATTTGTTCCGGCTTACAAAACTAAAAAACATAAAAAATAAAACACCAAAGTTATTGAAAAAATAATTGCACAAGTTTTAACAATGTAAAATTATATACACTGGTATTTCGA